GATACTCAGTGGTACTTTGCTACTAGGCCTCCCATTCCAATCAATCTCAAAGGAAAACCATGAGAATAGAAAGTTGTCATGAAGCCATTTCCACTCAGATGAAGAGATTTCTCAACCTCTAGATACTCCTGATTATTCTTGCCATTCTGACATCATTGGTATCTATTTTTCTGAAGTATGAAAAATTAAATTTCCAGGGTCACCACCAATTTTTATACACATCCAAAAAACTTACCAGTTTTATCTAGTCCCCTATACGTTCCTCTCAAAACAAAATTGCTGGGGAAAAACAGGAAGCGTCAGGCTCTAAATGACAGCATCGTAGGCTATGCAGATATTGCCTAAGTGCCCATGTAGAACGAGATGCTCCAGATTACTAGTAAGGAAAGGACTCCATGGGACAGTGGCATCAAAACATTCTGCTTTCAAATGAGTGTCTTAGAAATAAACACCTAAAATTTATAGGACTTTATTTGGCTTATAGCTATATATTAGAAGAGTTTCCTCTGATAAAGGCTAATGAGTTAAGTTCTAGCTTTATTAGCCAACTGAAAGTCTAAAGTTATAGTTAAAATTCTCACTGTGACATTCATCATTAACTCCAGAACCTGTACTCTTCAGCTCACACCACAGTGACTTTAGTGGAAAGAAAATAGGTTTAGGAGTCAGCCAGGCCTGAGTCTGAATTCTGGCTCTACCTCTCAATTACCAGATGACTTAACTTCTCTGACACTTAGTTCCCTTCTCTGTAAAAGAGAAAATATTTTAAATGCTTATGGTGTGGATTAAATGATATACACATACACAGAGAGCACTCAACAAATGTTAGTTCTCTTGACTATGTTTCTGTAACCCAGATCTGTTTATACCCGATTAAAGAACAATATTCTGAGTTTGTTCTCTCAGAAGAGACAAAGTGATTGGCCAAATGAACCTCAAGCTTAAGCTAAAGAAATATTTAAGACTAACATGTAATTTATACCTTTTGGATACTACTGTCCTGATAGCAAACAGGTGGCGTTAGTTTCCTCTATGCGGCATGGGTCTCTTTCAAGGGAACTAAATGGAATCTCTTAACCACACCCACCCCACTCTCACCTCCAGTTTTTAAAAGGCTGAGTACCGTGCTCGGTCCACATACTGCTCCCGCTCATACCGGGCCATGTCATACAGAGAATTCCGTGCAGCTGCTGAAGCCTGAGACAGCTCACTCTCTGGCCCATAACCGTAGCCCTCTCCAACTGTGGGGAGCACAGCTGCAGCACGACGAAGGGGGCTCCTGTCCCTTCCATAATAGGAGGAAGTGGTGGCAGCGGCAGCAGCCATAGCAGCTGAGGTGGCAGCAGCACCTGAGTTCGGCAACAGGTGTCTGTCGTAGGGATCAACGGAAGTGGAGTTGAGGTGACTGGTCACAGCTGTGTTCTGGACTTGAGGCAGATGGGACATGCTCTGCTCTGCGTAGTTGTACGCAGAAGCTGCTGCTGCTGCTGCCACTGCCTCATAAGAGCGGACCCGGTAACGCTTATAGTAGTCGAGTGCTCCATATGCATCATTGTAATACATGGATTCCCCGTAGCCCATGGTGTAAGGCGTGCGCACCGCTCCATACTGTTCGTTATACTGCTCGGTAAAGTCTGCCACGCGACCCGTACGATCTACTGGGCACTCTTTGGACCAGTGCCCCTCTTTCCCACACCGATAGCAGCCACTCTGGTCTCCCATCCCAGGGGCAGTCCGAAGGCGGCTTGTGGACAACTGCACATGCATTCTTTTGCCTTGAGAAAATAGATATGAGATTTATTATAATTCAGTGACGTTCTTTATCCTCCCCCAAATGGAAGTAGTTGGCATAAGACACACGTACATACACACACTCCTGAGACCCAATTTCAGCAATCCCCTCTAAAAGAAGTTTTAATACAGAGAAGAGCTAGAAAATTTGAGTCCTTAGAAACAAGTCAACCCTTTCTACTTACAACCGATTCCCTACTTCTGTTTCTACAACTTTCCTTTCCCCGCCCAAACCCAGAAATGGAAAGTTTCCACTTTTTACTGCTTAGACTGAAAATTTTAATGATTCAGAACCTGCCAGTTCTTTCAAATCAAATATCCAACAAAACCTCAGTTACAACAGATTCGGAAAGTACCTTACCAACTTCTCCCTGATTTACTCAGGGCCATGTTAGGCCTGAGCATTTAATGCAGCTTAAAAACCACAGTGAACTTCTATCCATCGTTTCCTCCAGCCATTTTTGCAGGTGTCACAGAAGGCTATGTTGCATACCTGGCTCATCATCTGCTTTATCTGCAGTACGTCTAAGACTTAGAAGACGCTCCAGATTTCAACCCCACCCCCACTTTTTTCAACAAGGGTGAAACCATGCCTACTGTGGAAAAGAAAAACTACTTGACCAAGGGCTCGCAAGAGCAAGAATTGGATCTCGAAACAGCACTGGTTTCTTAGGGACGGTGTGCTCCCATGTAATGAAATGATCACTTCATCCTGCATGTAGCCTTACAATTCTTGGGGTTTATCTACTTGTTAGAAAAATGCAGCATTTGCCTAAAGTCTTCTGGGCTCCCATACAAACAAGCCACATCCATACTTCCAGGCAATGATCAGCAGTAGGTACAGCTGAAAGAAGAAACATCTTCGCCCTGGGCCTGTATACCACCAAGCCCAGAAACCCTTACTGATGAAAGCATCCAAGGTCTTTAAAAACAGTTTGAGGAATGCAGTATTCTTGGCAGTATTTAGTCCCAAACTGTGTTAAGACTTTGGAGATCAAGTCAATGCTTTTTGAATTGTAGCCGAAAGGCAGCCAGTATAGACGTAGAAAACGGGCTTCGCATCACTCCTAAGGGCTGCTCAGAATAAATCCCCCCTCCGCGATCAGCAAGTTGCTTTCTCTTTAACAGACCTTGTTCTGGATGCAGTTATGCGATAGGAGGCCTCGTGCTCCACCATCCTGTTGGAAACAGCCTGATTCAGGACGGCAGCCAGCACAGCGCCATGCACTGACCCTGAGAGGGGAGCGGGTTAGTGCAGTAATATCACTTTAGTCAAACTCATTTCTGCCCAAAGTCTTAAGATTCCTGCCACCCCAGTTTCTAGTAGTTGCTGCCTCCAACTTAAAACCCTTTCTTTAGCAGAAACGAAGGTGCTCAGGTTTTTACTTCCAGTTGCTAGCAGAGAGGTAGCATCCATCACCACTGATATGGTCAACAGGTACCAAATGGCAATAACTATCTGAAAGCAGCATTTAGCCATTCTACTGTTTTCAAAGATTTAAATACACCCATTCTAATTCTTAGAAGTTATTAAGAGCTACATGCTAACTATGCATAGAACAGAAACACAAGATTTTTGCCCCAATTTATACTGCAAACGTAGAGTCCCCTATAATTTAGACTGGAGAATTACAAATTATTTGGCTTTCAACCACACATGGTAACGTTACTGTGTGACAGACACAAGACACAAACTGTACTTTAATTCTGAAGCTGGAGTAACCATGCCAATCTAAAAAGCGGCCAATCCAGAGACTTAAAAGTACATTTTTAGCAAAAAGTTTCAATTTAACTTGCTCTTTACTTTTACAGATTCTCGGTCCTTTTTTTTGAGAAAACCTAGTGATTTTTCCTTGATGTTTCTGTCGCTGTATTTAGTCTTCACCCCTAAGTTTATAAACATATATGGCAAAATCTATTTCTGTATAGCTGTGAAAAGGATTTAGGTCAAATTTTTTTTTTTACCTAAAACTAAAAGACCTATAACAAAAGTGATATGATAGTTTTTTCCATACAATCTTTCCAAAGGCTGTACTAGGCTTTTAATTTAAATCCTTAACGCAGGGGTTTCTAATCCCCGAGCTGCGTGGACCAGTACTAGTCCGTGGCCTCCTAGGAACTGGGCCACATAGCAGGAGGTGAATGGCAGGAGGGTGAGTGAAGCTCCACCTGTATTTGCAGCTGCTCCTCTGCGCTAGTATCACCGCCTCAGCTCTGCCTCAGCTCTGCCTCAGCTCATCTGGCATCGGATTCTCGGAGTCCCGGTCCCTGGTGCCAAAAAGGTTGGGGAATGCTGCCCTAACGTTCTTATAATTAAAAAATACCGTGCTTCTCTATTA